ATATCACTTGATGGACATCCTTAAGGTAGTCTAACATGAGAATGAGAGTTACCATAGTTTCTTGATAAATAAGGATACATGTGGACCCATTGCAACAATGAGATGTACAAAATGCTATGTTAAAAACGAACTTTACAACTTTGCGGGGCGGGGTGGGAAGAGTGGGGAGGAGTGTAGTCGTGTACTTGTGGAGATGGAGATGGGAGGGCAGGGATGGTAGGGGAAAAACAAAGGAGGAGGCAACAATGCTTGATAAGAAATGTACTTATTGCCTTGCTCATGTAATTGTAACCCATCTGTATGGTATTTTCACAATAAAAAACATAAAAAATAGTAACATACTATAGTCATTGTTGAAAAGGAATATTGGGCTGCGTTATTTAAGTAGCTTTAGAATACAATTCAATAGAATTTGGGCTGTTTAAAGCAGCAGCATGTGCTCTGACAGTGGGCCATTGGAGGTCAAGGAAATGAACCCCTCAGTCATCTCTCCATCGGCTTGTAACCAGTCTCATGATTAACCAGACACAAATAGACTCATGGTAGAAACCAAAACAGTAACCCTGGTTCTGACCAATAGCACTGCAATGAAACCAATCTTAGGTTCAGATTCCTTGCTTATCTCTGTTCCTTCCAAGAAGGCTGCTGAATTTTCTTCTGTAACTGAAGTTGAGAGTCTCTCCATTTTCCAAGTTTATATAGCCACTTGTTGGGAGATTGTGAAATAGAACGCAGGGTCCTGACCCCAATGCTCTTTCTTCTCAACACCATTTTTGACTCGGCTCTTCAAGGCTAGAGAGTTTTCCTGACACATAACTCTTGTCTTTCAGTATAATCAGTATTGCCTGCTGCTGTTCTGACAATCTGTCTTTTTTTATGATCATCGAAGAAACCTGGCTGCACAAGTTAGAAAAGGCTCAATTCCCTGAAGCAGGGGTTGCTTGAGAGAAATATTTCAAAATGTGTCTTTCCTAGAAAGCATTTTTCAAATCTGATACCAAGACAAGCAGGCAGACTTATTTTTTTTCTTTTTTTTTTTTCTGTCAGTCTTGGGGCTTGAACTCTGGGCCTGGGAGCTGTCCCTGAGCTCTTCCGCTCAAGGCTAGTGCTGTATACTTGAGACGATTTTCTGGTGGTCTATTGGAGAGAAGAGTCTCATGGATTTTGCTGCTCAGGCTGACCCTCAGATCTCAACCTCCTGAGTAGCTAGGATTACAGGCATGAGGCACCGGTGCCCAGCTAGGCAGACTGATTTCTAAAGTTGTAATTTCATACGTTGAAGGACATACAGGATTTCATTTCCCTAAATGTTGAAATTTATTTCATTGTCACCCAGCTGTGATTTCCTACAGCTTCTGTACATAAGACAATGCAGACAGGCAAATAAAGGCTGACGAATGTGTGGTTATTATCAGGGTGAATTTTAGCGTCATCTCCTTGTACTTTTGAAGTAAAGTATTGGTGGAAGACTGGATATTTATTTCATGAGTTTTTAATTGGTTGTTTTCTTTGAGTTCATAGAAGTTATCTCTGGGCTTTGAGGTAATTCTTGGATAGTACATTCTCTTTGTATTTTCAATCAATGAATAAGGTTGACAAAGGAGAATGATAGGCACTCACAAACTTCCAACAGTCAGCAACTCAAAAATACATACTTGGCATCTTGAATTTTGAGTCAAATGATGACAAGTTATTTTCAAAGCTAATGAAAGACATATCCTATTTACAATGCACTAAAATTATGATCAAAAGAAGAGATATTTATTTAAGCCTGGGATGGTGATTGAAAAATAAAGTAGGCCAGTTCTTAATTTTTCATTTATTCCTCTCCATTTTCACTGTGCTGTTGTGTAACCCACTAATGACTGAAATTGTTTCCTTAACAGGCTTTCCCAGCCTCTGTCCAGCAATGCCTTCTCCCATCCACCTGCCAAACCAAGTTGCACATAACCTTTACAGCAACTGCTCTACAACAGTACTGCTTAGACATCAGGAGACTTCAAGGGACTTCACAATGGCCTGGAAGACTCTTACATAAACAGGATTTTCTCCCACATTTTCTCCTGCAGTAGGTCTGGGAGCAGCTGCTGAATGGGTGCATTTTAACAAGTTTCCAAATGTTTCTAAACAGGATGGCCCCTACACCAAACATTTAGAATTGCTTAAAATGTAATACTGATTATGTAACTATGCTAGAAATAATTCTTTAGTGTTCTGTATTCTTTGCAATGTTCATTCTTTATTAAGGCCTATATGGCCTTCCATCATCTAGTCGTTTGCCAATCCTGATATTGTCTTTTATTCTCCCCTGCTTCAGATGGTTTATTTAATACTCCCATGTCCAGGGTAAACGAGATAGAGACACATACACACAAAAATGTATTTATATATGTCTGCGTATGACTATAAACATAAGATTAGTCTGTTTTAATGACATGTAGTACATATAATTCTCAAAAAACTATGCAAAATATTTATGATAAATAATCTTTAAGATAAGCAATCTTGATTGTTTCAAAATGCTTTTGACATTTTAGTATTTTTCTTGCTGAACTCTTTTATCTGTAGTGACATATGTTTTCTGTTACATGTCCTTTATATTGCTTTATTTCTTTCACCAGTCTTTTAAGAGTTGGAAATTATTTCTTTTTTTTTCAAGTGATTAGGGGTTTGAACTCAAGCCTTTGTACTAACAGTCACATCACTCTGCTAGTCCCTTTTTTGTGTGGGCCATTTTCAAGATGTGGTCTTCCTTAATGACTGAAGTGAGATCCTCCTAATTGTGTTTCTTTTTGTTGCTGGGAAAACAGACATGCACGATTGTACTCAGTTACTGGTTAAGATGGAGTTTCCTGAGCATTCATGATAAGGCTGATGGTCCTTCATCATAGCCTTAAACTTTGACTTCCCAGTCTCTACCTTCCAGATCTCTAGGAATACAGATATGAACTACTATGGCAAGCAAAAATTAATATTAAACACAGAGCCATAAGAAAACAGGCTTCCAGCCAGATACTTTTCTGACTTCTGGTATAGATAGTCAATAATGATCCAAATCTTGACTTGTAGTGCTTATCATCGTCTTTGATATAAATTCTCCATGTTGGTAGATTTCAAACTATCAAGAAGCTTGTCATTAGCCATGGAGTTACAAAAGATCTACTGTAACAGCCCAAAAATGTTGAGTATTTGCACTATACAGACTGAATAATTAAAAACAACAACAACAACAAAAACCCTCAAGTGGATAGGTGAGATGAAGTTAGTTAGTAAAATCATTAGATGTCAATAAATTAATTACAATTTAAAATATTTTAAATAAGTTATTTAATTGCAAGTTTATGTAACTTAACCTGCAGTAACGATTGTGGTTTGTGCTAGCTCATGGTATTCTTGGCAATTTGAACTTTAACCTTGAAGAACTGAATAGACTCTATACTCTAGTGTTGGATTGTTATTTTAAATTCCAAAAAATTATGGACTGTTTGGCATTCCAGTCCCTGTAGCTGGTCTGCCTTTCAGAACCTCCATATTAGGATAAAGGCAACCTTTTTTCAAGACTTAGAAGTGTCTTCCACCATGTTTACCATTTCTCTGCTAAGACAAAATTTCTCCCCGTCTCTTGTTTAGTGACGGGGCACTATCCCTTCTACAGCTCTTATCTCCTTGTTCTGCAGTGGCTTATTATGAGTGTTAAATGGTACATCTTCCAGTTCAAGGAGTCAAACTCATGCATGTCCAAGCCAGGCACAGAGCCTAGGATATGACAGCAGCACAATATATACTACTTGAATTGAACTACTGCTGAAGATCAGTTTGCAGAGCTCTAAGCAAACGTCTTTGTATTGCAGAGTTAATACATTTAACATGCCTCTTCTATGAAAGTGCAGGGAGACATGAATAACCAAGAATATGATGCATTATACTCATAATCTGACTTATGGCATTGTAACCTCTTCATAAAACTACTTTTTTTGTATGTGTAACATTTCTAGGGCTTTAACTCAGGGTCTGGATGCTGTTCCTCAACTTGTTGCTCAAGACTAGCATTCTAACATTTGAGCTGTAGCTCCATTTCTATCACTTTTGCTGCTTAATTGGAGATAAAAGTCTCACATACATTCTTGCCGTGGCTCGGTTCAAACCATGACCTCAGATCCCAGCCCTCTGAGTAGCTAGCATTATATGTGTGAGCTACTGTGCCTAGCTTGTATAACTACTTAATGATAAGAAAACCTAGATCTGTTTTGAAATGACGAGGGGGGTGAGGCCAAGGAAAGAAGGGTAGTCAATTAGACAGAGGAAAGGTGGGCAAAAACATAAATAATATTATGTATTTTATGTATATCATATATAATATTTTGTGTGTATGTAAATAGACCTAGGAAATCTGAGAGGATGGGTAGGATTTGGAGAGATGAGGGAGAAGGAATAAAGTGATGACATTAATCCAGATGCATTGTTCTCATATACTGACTTGTGGAATTGAAACTCTTTTTACAATGACTTAAGATAATTTTTAAAAATGGAAAGAGAAGAAGAAAACGGTGCTGATAAGGCAGGTGTCAGATTCCTGGAGATTTTGTTTTTACTTTCCATCTCTCTTATTAGCTTCAGCTAATTGAAGTTGTTTTTCAAGAATGTCTATGTATAATCAAGAGACTCACCACAGACACAAGAAGGCTAGAAAGCATGAGAGCACGCACATGCACATGCGTGCACACACATGTACTCAGGAATACACACACACTAAAACTCATGCACACTCCAATTTAAAGGGAGACCTGCTGATTTCAGTGCACACAGCTGCTTCCTTCTGAGTAACCCCATGTGGCCGCTGCATTGGCTCACACTTTCTTTTTAGCCTCTGGAGAAGATAGAGGAGAGATAACCCCCCGCCATGATGAGGTTTTGAGAGCTCCCCATCTTCTCTCCAAGAGTGTTTTATAATTATCTTGCTTCTCTGAGTAACAGCCTGGGTGCTGGCAGAATGCACTTACCTCATAGTCAATGTCCAGTGCATCAGCTTCACCCTTGGTCCGGAAGTGCTCTGTGTGTTTGTCCACAGTGAAGTTCACCTGTTTTCCCACTCGCTCAATGAGGACTGAATGCCAGTGTTGGTCATCCAGCAGGCTGCCCAAAGTGGCTAAGGGTGGGCTGCTGCTCAGCCGGGCTTTGCTGTCATCTGTGAAGGGGGAGAAAAGTAGGAGTATCTTTGTAAAGGGTCACTTTGAGTATTAAAAGGTCCTCTGAGTTAGGCCAGCTCACTGTTCAAGAGGTGAGCAGTGATCACCACTTTCTAGACTGAAACTTTGCAAGATTTCTCAGGGAATGACAGTCATTCATGTGCCTGCTTCTAGATGGAATATTCCAGAACTCAAACCACTAAACAGTATACAGACTTATTATCCTAGTAGTTCCTCGGATAACATGAAAACAGAGGCTTTCTCTTTTAGATTCAAAGCAAATATACACATACACACAAATTCATTGAGTTTGTTTTCTCTTGAATGGAGAAGGAAATCTCCTGAGTTGTGTTTTGGAAGAAGGGCAAATTTGGGATAAACCAAGGGCACACAGTGGGCACCGTGAGTTGGGGAAGTCTGTCTGCTAAGAAAAGGGAGAGAACATTAGCATGCTCTGACTCCTCTATTGTAAAAACTGGCTACTGCATGATCAACACTGAAGCAGGAAGTTCACAGCCTCCATTTTTAATCCTGTGAGGGAAAATTAGCATCTGTTTTTTACTATGAAGAAGCTGAGATGCTGTCAGGTTCTGCCTACATGGTCAGCAATGTATCCAGAATTTGGCCCAGTTTTGTATGGCCTGGTTTACTGCAATTAATGTTCATATGGGATCATTAATCATATTCTTGAGGATTCAGGCAACATGGAACTTGGAACACTATCTGGGAGGATTTGAGAGATTCAGGTGGAGGGTTACTTTCCATTTATGACTGCCTGGCTCCTTTCCTCTTTTTTCCTCCAATTTTATGGAAGGATTACAGCCTCTTCCTATGCCCGGCCCCAGAATTTATCTCAGTCTTAGCAAAATAAACAATTAGATTCAACTAGTCCTTACATACATAATATTTCAGTTTGGGGAGTATTTAGGAATTTGGCTCTCTTAGAAATAAATGCTAAATATCACCTCTCTCTGCTATGATGTGTATGCGCACGCGCGCACGCACGCGCGCGCGCGCACACACACACACACACACACACACACAAACACACAGAGCAGTAACAGCCTGCCTTGCAGTGTGACATTCAGTGGCAGAAGCTGCCATTTCCCTGGCAGGCTGCTGACTCCTACCTCCAGCATGGCCCTATGTCTTTGTTCTGGTCTCTGAGTGACACCGTGTTTCATACAGGAGTGGGAGTAGAGACTGCAAATGTATAATTGGAAATCAAGAGCTGATGACTTAATGCTTAACTCATATTTTGTTGAGTTGTTGTTTTCTTGTTCCATAAACTTTAAGTCTACAACACTTGTCAGATTATGATTAAAAGTTAATAGATACTTTTCTTTTTCCATTCTATTTCTGTTTGAGATAGGAAGAAGAAATAAATCCTTCTTTCTCTACTTGTAAAAGGGACTGTGAGGGTCATGGTGTGCTGACCACTGAGCCTTATGGTGGGACTCTCAACATAAAGCTATACTTAGGTGTCTTATAGGAGCCCTGAATGCAATAAACCATGGGATGACCAATCAGGGCTTGGGAAGATAGAGTCCAAAGCAACATCTGGGTGTGTTATACAGGAAGCAGGAGCATCATTACCCAGCTATGAGATGTAGGTGACGTGCAGACTTTGGTGCTGGGAAGGATAGAGAGCTCCCAGCTACAAGTTTGAGAGCTGGCTGGAAGGGCTGGCTCCTTTTTGTGACTGAACCCTAAGTCACAGAGCCGACATTTCATCTTTAAGGAAAAGATGCCAAGACAAACCAATAAGTTAGAAATGACTAGTTTGGATTTACACTGTTATATTGGTATGTACAGAAGAAACTTCGATTTCTATTTTAAATTGTCCTCTATGGAGGCAGAACTTATTTAAATTTCTGCTACAAATTCATGAGTTACCTCAAGAATATATAGAAGTTACCCCAAGAATATACAGCCAAGATTGAAAATTTTGCCTATCTGAGAAATAAAAACTTATATTTATGAATAATTGTAATATATGTATCTCTGGATGATGAAATTGAAAAACCTCTTCAATTTTATTTTCTTTCTGTGAACTCTATTCTTTGCCTAAAATTTTTAATCTGTATTTAACCCAATACCTATAATTTTGACAATATCTTTGCTTTTTATTTTACTATAGATGCTTCTTTTCTGTTTTTACTTGTTTCTTTTATTAATTACTCAAGATATATGGGGTTGAGAAGCCATTGTTTTCTTTTATTCAATGGCTTCTGGGAGTGAGTTATGATTTAAAAGGTAAACACTTTTGTCCAATCACACCCATATCACAGAAGTACTCTCCCAAGTTTTCTCACTTTTATTTGATTAGGAATTCATTATGATGATAAAATAACATACAGCTTTATCTTTGAATTATGTTTTTAGATAATTACCAAGTTGACTCAAATCCATAACTTAAAATTCCTGTGGTTTGAATAAAGAGCTTTGCATTACAGGACTTATTACTTATGCTGACTTTTTCAGCCACATTTAACTGCTGATTTTGGAGACATAGTCTCTCAAACTTTTCTTCCCTACTGGCTCTGAACCATATATGCAGTCCTGTGGATCTTAGCCTGCTGAGAAAAGATTGTAAGAGGAAATCACAAGTGTCCCACCTGGGATGACCATTTTAAGGAATCAGGGTAAGATTCAGATATGAAGAGTGACACTAAACTGGATATATGAATCATTTATGCCGATCACATCAGTTTTCACAGTGCATAGAGTGAGCTCCTTTTATTTGAACCTTCAGTAAATGTTCAAGTTGGGTTTTGCCAGGATAGTGCCATTGTGTCCACTGCTGCTGTACTCATTCCCACTTGTTGTGGGCTCCATCTCTGCACCAGAGAGCACCAGGAGAGCACCAGAACTCCACCTGCCTCTCCAAGTCCACACTTAGCCTTCTTCCTTTTCTCTGTCTTTCCTCTGTTGCAGAAAATTGGCTATTTTCTTTTTTTGCTCAACAATTCTGTTCTCACTCAGCAATTCCGCTCCTTAATTCTAAGAGTTTGGCATAATAAAAACATGCAGCCTCTTCGATGGCAATTCTATTTGTTCCATGTGTTTAATGAATAAGTAACTAAACCTTAATTAAGACACAACATAGCTCATGAAATAATTATGAATACATAAATCAATTTGTTGACCTTTCCTCAAAATGGATTAGCATTATTTGTTGCTTATCTTGTTCATTTACTGAGCTAATATTTTCTTGCCTGAAGATATTCTAAAATTGAATCCCATCAATCTTTCAAAATCTATATTTCAGTAAGTATTGAGAAACTTTAAAAATGCTTATAACTTTTTACCTGTTGATTCACCTTCTGGAACTCTATTCTAAAAAAATAAGTTGAAATGTGGCAAACAAGTGACATGACTAGAGTGATTTGAAAAGCAGAGATAATGTTCAAACATTTGGAAAGAGAAAATGTACACTGTGAGTACATATAAAATAGAAAAATGAAATATTATGAAGACATGAACATAATGCTTGTAAAATACTTCTCAGTTAAAAATGTGTACAATAGTGAATGCCCTTTTGAGAAAATAAGAAGCAATATCTTATAAAGAAAAGGTTTAATAATATGTACATTCTTGACAAAATATATAAAACAATAGGAAAATATGAATATAGGCTAAACAGCTAATAGAAAAGTCAAAGGTGCAAGGGGTTATCCTGCGTTCTTGTTTCAGCATTTTGTTATTCTCCTTCCCCTCCACAAATTAGACAAATGTATGTTCAAGATTCAAAATGCATATTGGAAATGAACTTTACAACTTCAGGAGAGGAGGAGTAAGGGGGTAACAATGCTAGACAAGAAATGTACTCATTGCCTTCTCTATACAATATCTTTACAATAAAATATTTTTTAAAAAAAATCAAAGGTAAGCACTGTGAGCTGCTAAAAGCACATTTATCATATTTTTTTCTTTCTTTTCTGTAGTTTAGAGTAAGTATAATCATTTTAATATTGGGAAAACAAACTTCATTAAAACAATAATTCTTGCTGTGAAAAACTGATTCATTAAAAATGATATCAGTGATACATATATTACAAAATATTTCCTGAGTTATGCATTGTTATTCTTATTTATTATTGTTTCAAGTTCGAAACATTTTCTAGGCAAGTGCTTTACCACTGAGCTATACCTGTAGCCTGTAAAGTTACACTTGAATTAACCCTAAGGGAGAGACATTGATGAATTTCTTCTCCCCTCCCCATTATTATTCTAGGTTAACACTCAGATATCTTGTATTAAAACAAGGTTAGTGAAAGTTGGCCTGATTAAACAACTGGGAAAACAGAATTCATGCTCTTCATAGAGAAGTACATTTAGAATTCTATCTATGAATTTAAAATAAAGAATGGTAGTCCTAGAAAACACCTCATCTTACCTATAATCTTCATTATTAGAAATTATAATAAAAACCTAATCCTCAGGACATTATCAAATGCTCTATCTTGCAATATCTATTTCAGGGTTTTATCTCAGTGGTACTTGTGGTTCAATTACATATTTTTACCTAGTTTTAAATTTAATAAGTCAAGATAAAAATCCTCATGGGCAACTGAGAAGGGCAAACACAATAAAACTATAAGGAAGCTAACTTTGGACCAGAAACATAAGGAAAACTATTTCTAATTAAGTAAAAGTGTTTTTCTTTGTCTTGAGATATACTTTTTAAAAAAGGAGCTGGAAATGTTTGCATTTTTCTCTCCCTTTATATCTCCCACTCCCATCTCCCACTCAGTATGCTGCGCTTGAATAAACCAGACCCTTCACCCTTAGAATTCACATGTTCTGGTTAAAGAATGAATGAACGTTTAAATCTTCTTGCTGAGGTTTAACAGTTGAGAAATAGATGTCACTTTAACTGTCTTGCTCTGTAGTTTTCAGACAGCCTGAGAAAAGGAAGCTAAGCACTATGTTAAGATGATTTTTCAGTTTAAAAAAATCCATTCTTGGAAAGGGCTTGTTTTACTGTGGATAAAATAGGTAGTGACTCTGGTAATTCCCTGTAACTACCTTCATCTGACCTTCAGAATCAACACTTCCCAATTCAAGTTTCCAGTTATCAATATTGGCATTCACTTGTATTTGTAAGATAATTACATAAGGCAAACAATGTATGTATTGCTTGAATTTTTCCTCAACGCAGCTCCACAAAAAAGCTTATCACAGCCAGACACTAGTGGCTCCTACCTGTAATAATAGCTATTCAGGTATCTGAGATCTGAGGATCATGATTCAAAACCAGCCAGGGCAGGAAAGTACATGAGACACTTATCTCCAATCAACTACCAAAAAGCCAGAACTGGAGAGTTAGCTTAGATATAGCTCAGGGACCATACCCAGGCCCCTCCTGGGTTCAAACCTCAGGACACCCACACCAACACCCATACCCACTTACACTTCAGGATTTATGAGTTTTCCTAATGGTGTACCTGATTCGTATTTATCTCCTTTGACTTTTCTATCTTATACAAATATTATGATAAAACTATTAGCAGTTCTGCGTTTTGAGATTAGGGCCTTTGTGCTTGCTTATGGTGGAGACTCTACCATTTGAACCATCCTTCTAGTCCATCTCTTTGCTGATTCTTTTGGAGATGGAATCATATAACTTTTTCTCTCCACATTGGCTTTGATCAACAATTGTCTAGATATTGGCTTCCTGAATAGCTAGGATTACAGATATGATCTTCAGTGGCAGCCTTTTAATATATCTATGTTATTTAGTTTTGTTGATGAATACTTATTCTGCATTGATTATTACCAAAAGACTAGAAGAGAAGTAGAAAGAATTATTTTGCTAGACTTGAAATTTCCTTAAAAATTAGCAAATTCAACTTTGAGCCTAGCAGTACAGAGATCAGTACTTGACTTAATGACTTGCAGGAATGATTGAGTCTATGAAAAATAGGGCATATCTCATCACATTGGCTGTTTGAAATGTGTACCTTCCTCTTTCTTCATTAGTAAGTGACCAGATAACCTGAGGCCAATCTTGGACCCCTCTGTTCAACTTACCTCTCTATTCTTCTTATATTGATCACATGATATTAAATACATAATTATCTTTTAAAGGTATTTAGCATGTTAGTGATGACTGTAAGATCACTAGTACAGTTGTATTCAAAGTTGGCCCTAGTTCCTTGTCTAAAACAACAGAGGCACGGAGATTTTGCTCAAGTGTCAGGGAATCACCAGATAGGTTTATTATAATACTTTTGTTATGTTTTGTTTTGAGATGAGTAGATTGTCATGTATATGTGTATGTGTGTGTATATTTATATATACATACATATAATACATCAGCAATGTTTAATATGGTGGCTGAATATGAACTCACACACAAAAAAGCAACTTGAAGTCTGGGTGCCTGAAATTCATGCCTAAAATCTTATCTACTCAGGAGGCTGAGATCTGAGGATCATGGTTGGAAGCCAGCAGGCACAGGGAAGTCCTAGAGATTCTTATTCCCAATTAACCAGCCAAAACCCAGAAAGTGGACCTGTGGCTCAATTGGTAGGATATTAGGTGTCAGTGAAAATGCTCAGGGACAGTACCTAGGCATTGATTTCAAGCTCCAGGAATGGCAACACACACACACACACACACACACACACACACACACACACACTAACAACTTGAAAAAAATACAATATTTCAAGAGACCTGATAAAATATTTGTTATTTGTTCACTGGTTTCTTAAGCTACTTGAATTTGAAAGGGATAAAACAAATATTCACTAGACATTTTGGGAGATGTTGAAAGCCTTCATTGATGTGTCAATGGATTGACCAAGCAATTCGGTTTTGCCCTTTGAACACTGCTCTTAGGCCTTGAAGGACACTCTGTTCTAAACATTTGGTGGATTCCTGGAATCCTGGATGTTCTCTTCACTAGAGAGGTACATACTGGGGATAGACTTAACACACTGCCTCAGATCAAAGATGCTGAACTCTTGTAAGGATGAATGACCTCCATGCACTATTGATGCCTTGTTTAGATCATACAATAGTCCTCCAGTCACATAATTCTTCTGCTCTTTGATTCTCCACCTGCCTGTGTGGCTTAGGTTGTTGTCATTCTGCAGAGTGCAGACTGCCATGGGCCATCTGAATGACATGTGCAGATGTGGGAAAGGGAATGTTGCAACCCCCTTGTGAATCGACAAAGGAAATATTCCCATTTAATAGTTTTCGAGAAAAAGAAATTAATGTTCATGTAGCCTAAGAAAGTAGGTCAAGGAGAACGCTACAGTTAAATTGCACCGCAGAACTGATTTTGCCCAGACTAGACACAGTAAGGGAACTACATAATGCAAACAAGAAAGTCTCCAAAAGGCTTCTTTTTCATATGAGTCAGTTTGGAATTCTGTTATTTCTTCCTGCTATCTCTGCCCATCTTTATATGGAGTCCAAAAGGATTCGAAGAAATACCTCAAATACCAATTGTCTGTCTCTAGGGGTGAGTCTGCAGAAATTTTAGTTATTATGTCTCTCCAGTTTATATCTAAAATACATTTTACTAATTTCTTCAAGACCTCTATGTAATTTGAGCTTACAAATGAAGAAGAGCATTTCTTCTTCATTTATATTTGTTAGTAAATACTAAAAAGGAAAAAAGAAGTCTTCCATTTGTTTAGTATTAATAAATATTAAATGAGATGCAAGAAGGCATTCTCCTATCAAATGGTAACTTTTCCAAAAAATGGCATTTATTTTCTGATTTGTTTTCTTGTGGAATATCTTGCTCAGCTTTCCTTTAGGAATTTTGTTCCTTGCCTCCTTCACATTGCTTACCTTAACTTTTTTTTCCACATGTAAAAGGTTAAGACTCTTTCCCATTTTCCCGGGGGTAAGGAGCTGCTTATGAATATAGACCTACTACCATTGGAACAAGCCAGGATGGAACCTCTCAACTCCTCACCATAGAAAGCAGACATCTTAATCAGGCAGAGGTGGAAGTACTGTAGGTACTAAAATTATTGGCATTTGACAAATCTTAAGCTCACCCAAGTACAGCCGGAAAACTTGTTAAAAAATACGATGTTTTTCCTTAACAAAAAATCAGGAGGTGCAGGAAGTTTATTTTTCTCATTTAAAAGAGTGACTTTCCCTATCCTCTTCCAAGGACAAACAACAAAACAACTTAACTGTTTTGTCCCCCATCTTCACTTGAAATTTGACTTCCCTAGGTATACCTAATAAATTCTAGCTTATCATAATAGATATGTGTGTAAGCTTGCTAAGATTGGAGTTTGAGTTGCTGAGAGAAATAGAGAAATAGGTAGAAAAATGCCAAAAGATTAATTTGTCATTTCCTTACATAGCATCACCTTATTGACATAAGATAATGAGATTATATCAAAGAATACAATCCATGGCACAAGCATTTCAAAAGGTAGTACTTTCTATTGCCATGTACATAAAGAAAATACATCTTCCAGGTTGTCCATCAGGCACTCCACCTGAAACACTGTTAGGATGAATGTCTATTATGAGGATCTTGCATAACAAGCAGTGCTCTGTGGCCTGTTGGCCATGGACTAAAATGGGATTATCGCTAACCTACCCAAGTTGAGGTACAGGGCAAGTCTCCCATTCTGTAGCTCCAGGGTTATGTGGTCTCCCCGTTGTCCTTCCCCATGGAACAGGACTCCATCACCTTGCATGCTCTTGAATTTCAAGGATATTACATCTTTGAGGGTACTCATCAGCTTCTGATTGAACCTGTAGAGCAGCGAGCTGCGACCATCAAAGTCGGCAACATCTGATTCTAGGTACAAAGAGAGAAGAGGGAAAGAAAAGTCAGTGCTCATCCTCCTGAGTGCTGACCCTGCTCCATCACAGTCTGGCTGTGCAATTTACAGGAATGTTATTGGGATCTGGAAGGTCCTTTCTCAATAGGAAGCATAAAGACTAGCTTCAATCTAATTAGACTTAGAGGAATGATTCATTTACAAGAAGCCACCACACACTGAGTCAAAAGGAACTCTGAGTAGAAGGAAAACTCTCATTAGGGATGTGCCAGCCTTTGCTTGGGGGGACAGCGTTAGAATGCCACAGGTACTGATGTCATGCTTTTCTGTGTCAGCTGCCTGAATTGTAATAACCACTTCTGATTTGTCTTCCTTGTTAATTTGCTTCTGACAGGTGGAATCATTTGATCTCCTCATCACAAGCACAAGACTGGAGATGAATAAGAAATATAATTTATTATGCCAAATCTGGTTGAATAGTTAGGAATTCTCAGAGTCCTGTGTTGAAAAGGATAATGAGAGTTCTTAACAAGTTTAATGGAACAGAATAGCCAGTAAAGGAAGATATGGTATTTGAATTCAGAGGGCAGGTAAGTTGGATATTTGCCATATACTTTGACTCAATGTGATAATATACTATTTTATCTACCTACCTATACATCCTCTATCTGTTTTGAGTATCATTTGTATTTATTCATTTATCTATAATCGATTGTTTATCTCTATTATCTGTCATCTGTATATTTTCTAGTATATATGATATAGAAATTATTGCCTGTAAGTGAACATTATTTTTTCATTATTTTTGTTTGTTCTTGAGATATTTTAGGAATAATTAATTTACACATAAATGTCTTATTTACTCATGGAGTACCATGTGATATTCAAAGTGTGTATATATCATATAATATCAAATCAAGGTTAGTATATTGTAACTTATTATCATGTTTAATTTTTAATTTCTATATAGTTGTAGAAAGGATTCAAAAAAGCAGTTTGTGAATACAGTGAATCTTGACTGGTACAACATTAATGTGAAATCCAAAACCCTTTCCTTCTAACTATTTTGAAGAGTATAACAAACTATCATTAAATCAGATACCCTACTGTGCAATAGAGCATCAGAACTTACTTCTCCTCTCTAATTCTGACCTCACACTTACTGGTTATTTCATCCCTGTCCATCCATCTTCTGTAGTTGCCAACTTCTGGTAACTTGTTGTATTCTCAACTTCTATGCAGTAAGTGTTTTTAGAATTCACATAAATGAAATCATGCAATATTTGTCTTTCTGTGCATGTTTTATTTTGCTTAACATAATGTTCTCCAATTCCATTATTATTAAAGTTAAAACAGAAGGCCAAGTAATCATGATTTAAATGTATGCAGATATATTTATATATAAAACAAATATATTCAAAAATGAAGGACTATATTTGGAAGGTGTTATTGTAAGCTATTTTAGCATCCCTTTTATGATTATTTATAGCAGTTTTGATTACTTTTATAATAGGGAAAATGTAAGGTTATTTAATTATGACGTGAAACAGATTCATACCATCTTATATGGAGGCATATGGGAATGTGGATGGGGTGGGATTATTCTTATTTGAAATTCAATACCCAAGAAAAAGTAATTTTTTTTTTTACTATTTGTAGAACCATTAAAACCCTCGGCTTGAGTATATATAACAAACTAAGACATTATTCCTGACCAAGGAGATAGAAATATCATTTGTATTTTAAATTCTGAATAAAAAGAAAAATGAAATCACTCCTTTCTGTCATAGTTGAAGAAGACAGTTTCAGAATTTGTCCAATGATAGAAAGAGATTGCCACTATAAAGATTACTGATAACTCCAGAACTTAAAAGGAACATTCCAGACGCAGAGGAGTTTCTTACAACCCCTTACTTTTCCCAGAACCTTCCCTCTACAGCGGTGTATTTGTATCTGTCCTTCAAACTGGACTTCAACCCAAATCAATGGAACTATGGCAGGCAGCTAACCACATTATAATGCATTGAGTATCATAATGCATGCAAACTTTGAAAGCCATGGTATGTTATCTTGGTCACTGGGGGCAACTTTATCTAAGACTTTAGTTTTTTGTCTGTAAAATGGAGACAATGATGTCCATTAGGAAAGGCTACTTCAATAATCAGTAATCAATTATGTTAAAACATGTAAAGTGACAACACAGTCAAAGTGATTCCATCTTACTGGGCACTTTGTTTTAAATCAGTCACAGGCACTAGAGTGTTAATTATGCTTTTGTTAACTGGGGGGCCTTGAGTTTTTAGACAGTTCACTCAAGGGGCTATTACTGAAATATATTTACCCCAAATGCTGCTGCTGCTGTTGTGGTTGTTGTTGTTTTTCAATGATTTGTTACCCAGGAGATGCCAAGTTACCCCCGTGTTTCCTAGTCTGCCAGATTTCAGCTTCAGAATTTCTTACATTGAAATTCTCTATGAGTGTGTGTGTGTGTGTGTGTGCGCGCGCGCGCTCATGGACACGCACGCATTATTTATGCTCTCTCCTCTGACAGAGGAGACTGCCACTACTCAAGACTCTGCAGGAGCAATTGAGTCCTTAGGAACTTTATTGCCCAGCAGTGAGTTGAAGAGCCCCACACTACCCATCAGAGCTTGTAAAGGTGAATGCAGGACATCAGGCACATGCAGCAGAGACTGACCCAGCTCAACAAGGGGAAGATTCAGACAGAGTTTTACTGGGGAAATAAGCAGTACATTACTCTTGAATGACGCAAATGGGACAGAATAGACTAAGAGAACCCAGAAGGGAGCAAGAGGACAAGAAAATGTGATGCCTCTCAGGATTACAGGAGGCTCAGGTGGTTGGAGCAGAGGATGGGCAGAAAGATCTATTTTTTCCATTGTGACTATTTCCAGCAGTCTGAGAAGCACAAGGGTTTCATCTAAGCAATAACTGAAACTCCACAAGCATTCATGGAGCTGTCTGTCCCAGGTCTACAAGGAGATATAATGTTCAAACTTTGCATTCTCACACCAAAAGAAACACCATTTCATTATCCTCAAAGCATCCTGCCCAAAGTATAAGCACTCCTATTACACTATGCCTATGTCGCAAATCTCCAGAGAATCACAGTTATTAGTAGAATCTGATGGGGAAAATAGTGACAGATATTTGTTGCGCCATATACATGAAAGAGCACATAAGAATTGCACCATTTTCTGGGAGCAATATTCAACTACAGGGAGAAGGCTGCTTTGTAGAGTAGTTCTTTTATTGACCAAGTGCCAAAATAAGTCAAGTTTATATACAACTATGGCTTCACTTATCTTTTCTGTAAAATCAGACAAAAATATTTGCTTAAAGAATAATCATATAACTAATTTTTCACTGTCATTTCATACATGATCTCATCTTGTGATATGATCTCATATTGTGATATCATTGTTTCCTCAAATCCTGCCTGAAGCCTTCAGTTCTCTAGTCAAGTCTTGGGGCTCAGAACCTTTTTTCTGCAGTAGCAGTTACAATGTTTCCTTTCCATAAACATCTATCAGAACTTTTATGACTGACATTCCCTTTTCAAAAGTGACTGGCTAGTCTTGTGACTGGATTTGTGAGGCATAGAAACATGGCTTACATCTGAGGAAACATGGGTATGTGTATAAAAGTTATATACACATATGTCTAGGTATATCTATGTGATATGTATGTGTTTACATGAACAGATGATGAGTAGTCTAGATTTTGTTTTGGTGCTTATTTGTGGGAAATTGGGGTACATTTCTTGATTTTCATAAGCTTCAGTTCTATCTATAAAAAAGGGACATAGAGAAAATTATAAAGCCATAGTGAGAGTTATATAAGCTCACACCTGGGAAAAGGCAGTCTATAACACTTAGCCTCCTGTTCTGTTTTTAATCGAAAGGATTTTTTCAGTAGGAAAAAATTTTTTATCCTGGTGTGACTGATAAGGAATGTGAAAGGAATTTCTTGGGTTTCAGAGTCCAGTAGGTTTTATGTGATAGCAAGCAGCATCTTTCAAACTCTCATTATCATTGTCAAATACTTGAAAGAACCCACAACTTTTCTCTTAGATTCAACTACTGCCACAACCACCTGACAAGGTTTCCTTGCCACATCTCTATGAAAGCCATTTAGTGAACTACTTTTTAATTCGAATTTAATTTAGTATTCAAAAATCAGTAAGATTTGGCTCGACTTAGCTTTCCTCGATACTATTTCGAATCCACACCTGGCATGGCATTGATGAAACTGTGTGCTGTGTGTGTATGTGTGTGTGTGTGTGTGTGTGTGTGTGTGAATGTGTGTGTGTGTGTGTGTTAAGAACAATGTGGATAGAAAGGTTGGACAAATGGGATTGCATTAAACTGCAGAGCTACTGCATGACAACGGACATAGCTAGCAAGGTCAATAGAAAGCCCATAGATTCAGAGAAGATCTTCACTAGTCATACAAAGGCAAAGGCAAAGGTTTCATATCTCAAATATACTTAGAATTCAAAAAATTAAATCCCCAGCAACAAATCCTCAAAGAAGCAACTGCCCAATAAATAAGTGGGCTAAAGACTTAAAGAGAGACTTCTCTGAAGAGGAAAGAAGGATGGCCAATAGACACATGAAAAAATGCTCAACCTCTCTAGCCATAAAAGAAATGCAAATCAAAACAACATTGAGATTCCACCTCTCCCCATTTACAATGGCTATAATCAAGAAATCTAATAACAACAGATGGTGGAGGGGATGTGGACAGAAGGGAACCCCACTGCATTGTTGGTGGGAGTGTAAACTTGTTCAACCACCTTGGAAAGCAGTATGGAGGTTCTCAAAAGACTCCACATAGAGCTCCCCTATGACCCAGCAATCCCACTTTTGGGCATTTACCCAAATGATCCCAAACAAGACTATACTAAAGCTACCAGCACAACTATGTTTATTGCAGGATTATTTACCATAACTAAGATATAAAACCAATCCAGATGTCCCACAGTAGATTTATG